AATATAATACTTATTAAATAAGATTTTTTACTCATATGGTTTTATAATATTTTGTATCTTATTATAGAAAAAAAAATCAAACCATTGATCAAAAAAGTTTATGTTAGACTTTTAACAGTTTAGTAATTTATACTCATTCTTCTTAAATTCAAAATAAAACATATACGAAAAAATTTAATTTTTATTATATAGTTAATGTAATTGTGTAATTTATTTTAGTAACAAAAATTTAAACAAAATGATAGAGAATATAAATTTGTATAGCTATATTATTGAAAATCTTTAATTACCATATCTATTTTAATCATATTAGGTAATTCTGTAATCTTTATATAAAGAAATAATGGAAAATATTTTTTTTGGATTAATAAGAGATTTTATTGTTAGTGTAACGAAAACTTTAGTTTATATTTAAGTAGACCAATTTCTTTTTCTAAAGACTACCAAAAATCATTTTCATGATGACATATACCATATCTCAAATATTGTAATTTTTCTCTTTTAATATATAAGGAATATATTATCTTTTGCACTTTTTGCTAGTTTATCCGCCATAGTATTCATTTTGCAGAGTATATGTGAGATCGTTAAGAGATAAAATACTTTCATTTCTGAAACTCTTCTATGTAGATTAAAAAGGCTGGGCAGTCGGTGTCGACAAAACCTTAACCAGTTCAATTCAATCTGTTCTGAATGCAATCTTAGTTTGCGTAAAGTAATTGTACATTTCATTGCCCTGATCAAAATTTCAAATTACATGCGCATGTAAACACATGTAAAGGTGATAAACCCCTTCATATATTTAACTCCCATAAAACCATCAAAACTTTCATTTTTACCATATATTTAATATAACAATTAATACGCTGATGCCCATCAGTAAACAAAATTAATTTAAATTAGATAGTCATAATCACAAAATAAGTTTGTAAAATATTTTGGAAATAAGAAAATTAGAACTGAAAACCAAAAATTGAATGAATTTGATCTACAAAAATATGCATAAAATGTCAGTTTTATTTGTAACTAAATTAACTGAAATAATCTAAATTAGTATTCAAATTTAAAGATATTTGTTATATTTAAATTCAAAACAACTAATAACTAAAAAATAAATTAACAAAAAATATTTGAAGATATTAGTTATATTTAAACATAAAATAACTAAAACATCAAAATAATCATATATTCTAATATTTTTAGTTATCTTTGTCAACCGTACATTTAAATTATACCAAATTTTATCTAAAATATATTTCAGACAACTTGAATAAAAATATTCAAGCCATACTAAATCCTAATAAAATGTTTTTAGTGTCGATTTTAAATTATATGATTGAATTAACATAAATCACAACATATCCAAACTGTTCCGAATAAGAAAATATTCTTTAAGAACATCTCCAAAAACACATTCTATTTTATAGTTTGCAAAACTCTATATTTAAAGTTTAATGGTATTCTTCTCTAAGAACAAAACTTCAAAACTATTTATATTTTATACTATGATTAGATATGGATCCGTGCGTTGCACGGGTTTTATTTGATGTTTAATTTTTCGGACACATAAAAATTGAAAATATTTTTCACATTAGACCATCTCCAATGTATTTTGTCACTTTTACTCTAAAATAGAGATGAGATATGCTCCAATATATTCCTTTATAATAAAAATCTCTAAATATAGATTAAAAATAGAGGACTGCTATTTCTCTTTTATAAATAGAATAAAAAATAGAAATCTGTATTATAAAGAAGAAATAGAGGTGAGTTGGTCGTGCCATTATAGATATTAAAATAACAATGAGTTGGAAATACTCTTAATTCTTGATTTTTTCAGTATATATTGGTCTTAGTTTTAGTAATAATAATTTGCTTCTTACATAAATTTTGATTGATATTTCTATTTCAATAATTATGGTGTTTTAAATAATTTATGAATATTTTTAATTATTTTTCAAAATAATAATAGTTGTAGTTAATTAAAACATATAGAACTTTGAACTCTCAATATTATTATCTTGTTTAAGGCAAAGTAAAAACAACACAATTAAAATTATTAAAACTATACGACACCAATCCATATGTATTATTGATAGTCAACTAAATATCAAATATATTGCTAAATAAAACATCAAATATGTTTACTTTACCATTTATGGTGTGACTATTGTCGTTATGTTTTAAAAGTTTGAAATTGTAGTGACTCTTGATAGTGTGATGTATAATTGGACTTGGCAAACATAGATCAACCTTTTAAGGTTTAACCTTAACTTTTGTTGATAATCATTGCATTGCAAACTCATAAGAAATTAAATCATTTCAGTTTAAAAGGTCATCTTGCATATGTTGGTATGAGACTTTTGCTAGGAATACAAATCTGTTCTTTTTTCATATAACTTTCAGTGAAGATTTCTATTTCAGTAATCATGTTGTATAGGTCAAATTATTAGTAATATTGTCCATTGCAAAGTCCTTCTCTTTGATTTTAATTCTTTAGTAGCATGGCTTACAACATTTCATTTCAAAGTCATTCTCTTTTATTTTAATTCTGTAGTATCATGACCTACAATAGCATAACAAATTTTATATGCTGATAAAAACAAACACAGATAAGCATTATAGCCACATTACCCATTAAACTTAAATAAAACAACATGAATAAATTCTTAAGTATAATTGTGGCAGTAACTAATGTATGACAACATGATAATAATATATTTTTTAATAAAAATTAACATCACTTTAATGTGAAAATCAGGATGTATATATATACACACACACACACACATATATATATATATGTAAATAATTAAAGCTCCTTTTGGTTTATAATTTATAATAGAATATCAACTATTTTAATTCGAAAGTGGATTATTCATAAAAATATTAGAATTAAATATTTCAAAAACATTTTGATTAGGATTTGAAGAAAGGAAAACTATTTAAACACTTTTTTATAATTTTCTTACGTTTTTGATATTAGAAAAAGATAAATACTATTAAATATTTTCTTTTATAACAATTATATTTTCATTAGAAATTTAGAAGACGAAAATTGGTATTAAATAAATTACTTCACTAATATTTTATGTTTAAAAGTTTTAAAAATAAAAAAGCAGAGAAGAATACAACTAAATAATTACTGTTTGTTTAAAAAAATTGGACTTATCATCTTATTATATATTTTATAAATCATAAGATATTATATCACATAAAAAAAATTAAAATAAAAATTTCTATCAAACAATTTTTTTCATTTATCTTTTCTTTAGGATTTTGAAAAGGAAATCTATTATTAAATAGATTATTTTACAAATATCTTTGTCTTTGGGATTTTTAAAAAAGAAATTTTCTAAAAATCCCTATTAAATCATTTTAAAATGAATTTTATTTTTTCAAAATAAATAATTTCTAAAAATATGTTTCAAAATTTGTCTTTACTATTTTCTTTGTATATATATATATATATATATATATATTAATCATGAGATAGTCTAAAACATGTCAAAATTTCTATGAAATACTTATTTGCAATTAGATTTTGTTTAAGATTTTAGAAATGAAAAATTACTATAAAATAATATTTATAATTAATTTTTAACAAAAATAGTTTTAGTATCTTAGTATATTTATTGTTAATTATAGTTTAACACATATCACAACTATAAAATATAACTTTCATATGTCACAATCATGTTAATTATCAAATTTAAAGAATCAACCTCAATATAATTTACTAATTATTTTTCAAAATCCTTTACAACTTTTTTCAATTTTTTTTGTTTAGGATTTTTGAAAAGTAAAATTTCTAAAAAATACTATTAAATAATTTTAAAGTTACTTTTTACTAATAAAGAAATTTAAATTTACTTTTTAAAACTCGTTTTATTATCTTATTATATATATATAATCATTATATATTTTAACCCATGTCACAATATTAAAAGGAAAATTAGTATCAAATAATCTTTTACAATTATCTTTTGTTTAGGATTTTAAAAATGAAAAGTTATCATTAATAAATATATAACTGTCATATGTTACAATCATGTTAATTAGTAACTTTGAAGAATCAAGTTCAATAGAATTTTTTTTTTTTATAATTTTGTTTCAAAATCTTTTACATATTTTTTTCAATTTTTTGTTTTGTTTAGGATTTTTCAAAAGTAAAATTTCTAAAAAATACTATTAAATAATTTTTAATGTTAATTTTTACTAATAAATAAATTCTAAATTTACCTTTTACTAATAAATAAATTTTTAAAATACAATTAAATAATTTTTAATGTTATTTTTTAAATTTTTAATATTACTTTCTACTAATATATATTTTAACACATGTCACAATATTAAAAATAAAATTACTATCTGATAATCTTTTACAATTATCTTTTGTTTAGGGTTTTAAAAATGAAAAATTACTATTAGATAATAATTATAATTACTTTTTAAGCAAAATTTGTTTTTCTTATTATCTTAGTATATATTTATTTTTTATTATGAGATAGATTCATATTTAAAGTTAAAGAATATTTTTTTGGAGATGTTCTAAATTCTCTAAATTCTGAAAACACACATTTATGACTACTTGATACCAAGTCCTACCCATTACGTAAGTTATGTTCTTTAATTTAGACCAACTACCTATTACAGATGATAATGAGTTAAGATGACAATAATAATTAATGAAATTGTATTATCTTTAGTGGTCTAAATTGGTTAGGTAAGGTCTACTATTAGCTGTTGACAAAGAAATAAATAAAAACTGTATGAATCTTTTGTTTTCATCCAATAAACCGGTTTCGTATTTTCTCGAGTGCAATAAATTGGTTATAAGGACGTACATCGTTGTCAACATTATTTTAAGAAAGAAAACTAAATTCAACAAAATATATAATAGAATTACTTCAAAATGTCGACATAATTGGCGTGTGCATACAATAGTCTCGAGAATTTATATACAAATGTCTTCTCTTCTCTAAAGTCTAAACCTGTTGCCCAACTGCAAACTCCATCACGATGTCGACACTAACGTGTTTCTTTCTCCAACTTGTTTTCTTCTCCATTCGTCATCCTATCAAGATTCTACTATTTAGTTACTCTCATTCATTCATGTCTTTTGAGTTTACGAGAATACTTCCCTTTACGCTAACCTTTTCATGATCCCGACGAAACCTTCTTAGTCACTCAATGTTCTTCATCGATGTAATCGCCCTTCATTATATTTTCAGTTATTTATTTGAACTGACTGAAACTGACTCTTGGTTTATGGTTTAGGTTCTTTGGAACTTTTTCCCTCTATACTTCTTCGGATCAGAAAGAGATTCTCTCTCAGGTATTTCATCTGAACATAACATCAACAATCTCCTTTGCAATAAAGATTCATACTTTACTCAAGAAAATTAAAAAAAAAAAATTATTACTCCCATCTGTTTCATTATAAATATCATTTTAGGTTCGTGCATATAGATTAAGAAAAATAAATTGCAGAATAAAATTAATAAATTTTGCATTGAAAACCGAAAACAATATTTATTTTGTAACAGAAAATTTTCTCTATAACAACACTTAACATGAGAAGGAGGGAATATTATTTTCTTCTCAATTCAAAGTCTTTCCATGTTGTTTCAAGTTTGCCCAAAAAGATCTCACTTAAAATTCTTTGCATGAGATTTAAAGTTTGATTGAGTAGAAAATCAAGAACATGTTCTCTAGGATGTTATACGAACTTATCTGATTAAAAGATACATACTTTGTTCTGTTTACAGCAACAGAGTCCATAGTTTCTGAGACAATGGCTGCTTCTTGCAATGCCGCCGAGTCTGACCTTTGTCGGGACGACACCGCCGCGTTTCTGCTAAAGTTAGTAGCCATTGCTTCCATTCTCTTAGCTGGTGCTGGAGGTGTAGCTATACCACTCGTTGGTAGAAACCGCCGGTTCCTTCAAACAGACAGTAGTCTCTTTGTGGCTGCTAAAGCCTTTGCAGCTGGTGTGATCCTCGCCACGGGGTTTGTTCACATGCTGGCCGGTGGCACGGAAGCTTTGAACAACCCGTGCTTACCGGAGTTTCCTTGGTCTAAGTTTCCTTTCCCAGGGTTCTTTGCAATGGTTGCTGCTTTGCTCACTCTGCTTGTGGATTTCATGGGGACTCAGTACTATGAGAGGAAGCAGGAAAGGGAAGCTACTGATCTGTCTGGTGAACAGTCTCCAAGTATCGTTGTTGTTCCGGTGGTTGCTGAAGGGAATGATGATAAAGTGTTTGGAGAAGAAGACAGTGGAGGGATACACATTGTTGGCATCCATGCTCATGCTGCTCACCATACACATAGTCACCCTCAAGGTCATGGACATAATAAAGTCGACATTGATCATGCTCAGGGACACGGACACGCGCACAGAGGTTTTGAGCTTGGAAGCGGAGCAAGGCATGTCGTTGTGTCTCAGGTAAAAATTCTCTGTTTCTTGATTCTTGTAGAGTCGCAAATGTACTGTGTAAGCTCAAGATTTAAATCTCATTTTACTATAACATTGTTAGGTTTTGGAGCTTGGAATCGTGTCACACTCCATTATCATCGGTATATCACTTGGAGTATCTCAATCTCCATGCACAATCCGGCCTCTAATCGCAGCACTATCGTTCCACCAATTCTTTGAAGGGTTTGCGCTCGGTGGTTGCATCTCCCAAGCACAGTTCAGGAACAAGTCAGCGACCATAATGGCTTGCTTTTTCGCCCTCACAACACCGATAGGGATCGGTATTGGAACTGCAGTGGCGTCTTCTTTCAACTCTCACAGCGTCGGAGCGTTGGTCACAGAAGGTATCTTGGATTCTCTCTCAGCAGGGATACTTGTGTACATGGCTTTAGTGGATCTAATAGCTGCTGATTTCTTGAGTAGGAGGATGAGTTGTAACTTTAGGCTTCAAATAGTTTCTTACATGATGTTGTTCCTAGGAGCTGGACTCATGTCTTCTCTTGCTATTTGGGCTTAGATTGTGAGATTATTTCTTCTGTAATAGCTCGTAGCTACAAACAATTATGTATAGTTCTAGAATAATCAATCTCGAATGTATTTTCTTGATTCTTCGAACAGCATTTAATGTTGAGTTGAGGGTAAGTAATGCACTGTTTCAAACTCAGTATGTTGGGTTTGTATTTTAATTATTTTGTAGTAACCCATGCCTAAAACCATTATTGTAACTTTGTCCCACATTGTTTTTTTTTTTAAACACTAGATTATATTTCAAAGAGTAATTACAATAAGAACTTGAGGTAGTCAAGCTTACAAAAGGATCATAATCAATCAAAATGTGCAGAGGTAGGAACTAATTCCTAACCAAATAGGTAATCAAGCCAAGAAGGATCAGTGTATGATCGATAGAGATCTAATTTGATCACACTTTCAGCTATGAACTTTGCACCTTTAATGCTACGGTGGTGATAATGGAGAACCTTCCAATCTAGAAGCTCATTTAACATGGGCAGTAACTTAGAGGAGTAGACTCTAAGCGAGGGCCATGAGGATGGCTTTGAGATCTCTTGGACCAGACCATGGTCGTCAGAAGCAAAGACCACTGAGTTGAAGTGCAAGGTTTTGATACACTCAATCGCCCAGGTCCAGCTAGATAGAGATGCATCCTGATTACAAAATATATTAGTGAATGATTGCCTACCATGGGAAAGTACTTTTCCATCTCTGTTTCTGAGTGCCCATGAAGCTCCACTTTGGTTACGGTTTTTTATCCCAAGGGAATCCATTGAAGCCAATCTTTAGGAGGTGGTTTCCAACCAAAAAAGATTTTTTGCTTGCGCTCCAAGTCAATCTCTTTTGCTTGAGATTCATGTGTTTTTATCAAAAACCAATGATCTACTTCTTCATAGATAGCTTTGATGAAATTGTTGCCCAAGAATAATTTACTTTGTCCCACATCGTAAGATTACAAAAATCATATTTATTTCCTTTACTAAGGAGTTCCTTCCCATCTCTTTTTCTCCATCAAGTTGAACAGTGCTTATCAAGGATCAGTTGTTGCATTATTAGATGACCAGTCACTGATGATTTTTTCTACGAGTTTTTAGTGGGTTCTCAAAGGTTTCAGTGAGTTTTTCGTCGACTCCTCAAGTAAGTTTTTCACCTCCTAATTCTGTTTTAGAAACTTTTATATTTAAAAAGTTTCTTTTTTCTAGAAATTCCATTCTAATAAAGTTTCATTTTTGAAAAGTTCCACTTCTGAAAACTTTACTTTTGGAATCACTGAGTCCAAACATTTAATTTTCTTATCCAGCTAGTGGTTAAGATGAAGGTTATTCTCGTAAATTTTTGTTTCTCGATTAAGAATTTCTAGTCTGTATATTCTTTGAATATGTTTATTCTCTTTAAATCGATATTGTTTGGAGTTTGTGACATCTTTTTTCAAACTTTAGAATATGTTTAGTAACCCAGTATATCGACTTAACAAATATACTTTATAAAAAGCCAACAATACGTGTCTTAATGTGAGGATCGGCTTATGACCAAGCTCCGAACTAATGGTATATCTTCTGGCACAACGAAAATTTCCATCATTTTAACATCCCGTTCCTTTGTATCAGCTCCAATGAAGTCGAATTTTCCTTGTAGAATGGACAACCAGGGTCCAGAGCATTTAGTCATGGCCGGTCATGCTGGTGAATTTTGAATACAAGAATCATCTTCCCCTCAAACCCTGGATGAATGTCTAATCCCTAGTAACAACATTTCTTGCGGCAAATAACCCAGTCCATGCATATGAAGATGCATCTATATTACTAATTCGCAAAAGTGAACTATGCCTATAATACTTACCACACAGAACTTGAGCCAGCAAAAAGTCAGGGTAGTGAATTAATCTCCACAATTTTTCGCCAACAAAGCTATATTAAACTTATGAATCATCTTAAATCCAATACCACCCTCTTCTCTTGATAAATAGAGTTTCTCTCGTTTCGTCCAGTGAATTCCTCTCTTTGATGAGTTAGAATACTAAAATTGTGCAACGACACTCACAAGTTTCTAACACATGTCCAATGTGAGAAAAAACTAGACATAACGTATGTCGGTAATGCTAAGACAACGGATGGGGATATATTGGAGGATGCCTTAAGATATCAGTGGATCAAAATGTAAGTGGTTTACTCACTTATGTTTTCAAATTTAATTATTTTATACTTAATAAATATCATATTTGTGTAGATTTATCCGTTTGCCGAATTTTGAAAATCACATAACTTTTCTAGGGCTATGATGTGCCGAAACGCCAAAGGCGGCCCGAGTGTGTCTGTCTTGCTAAACGGATTTTTATTGTATGTTATTCTTCCATTTTAGTTTTTAGAACTGAGATTTCATTCAGTTTTTATACTGCATTTTTAATTTGAATACAATTTTGTGTTCCTTTTTGTCTCTAGTGTCATCACTACAAGAAACATATGAACTCCGACGGCACATATCGTCAGAATTTTGTTAGCATTCATAAATTCGGATGACATTCCGACGAAAATAATCATCAGAATGTTTTCGTCGGAAATAAATATTCATCAAAAATCTGTAAACAATTCCAACAAAATTCCAAGGGACTCCGACGGTCACAATCCCAATGAATAACCGACGATATATGTCGTTGGGAGAAGTCATCAGTAGTTTTTCGGTAAATAATTCAACCAGACCAACCACCGAACAATGAATCCGATGAAAGAAATCCATCGAAATTTCCAACGAATCTATTCTATCATAAATTTCTAACGAGAAAATTGGTCAGAAATTTTCGACAAACCTTTGTGGTCGAAATTTTCTGATAGATTCCTATTCGTCGGAATCAATATATTATCAATTTCTGAATATTTATTTTTTTTTTTTTATAAATTTATAATTTATTTAAATAAATCGATAGAAACTGAAACTGAAACTAAAAACAAATATTATTGAAATTAAGTTTTACGTAATTAAAAACAACATTTAAAAATTTTAATTAACAAAAAAAAATAATTTAAAAAAATTAAAATTCGGTAGGAAACAAACGATTCATCTTCTCCAATATCTCTTGATTGCTCTTCTTTTGATCTGCCAATTCAGAAAGAATTGTGGCGTTCTGCGTCTCCAACACTATAATCCGGTCATCCTTATTCTGCAGCGGCTTTATAATCATGGGATAATCATAAATGGCTTGTGAAGAAGAAGGACAAGAAGAGGCACGACGAGCCAAAACGACATTTCCTCTTTTGAACCGCTTAAAAATAAATAAAATAAAATATTAACAATAGAATTAAAAGAGTAATGAAATGAAAAATAAAAAATTATATGTTCCACCATTTGATTAATTCGGATTCGGGATACGTTGGTGGAAGATGCCTGAATTTTACCCGTCTTCTTGTTAGTGTACGCCTCCTTCATGACATCTAGATGATCGACGAGATTACCTTCATTGGCTTCAACCTTAAAACAAAATTAATCAATATATATATATATATATATAATTAGAAAAATTATATAGAGCTTACAAAGTCGATTTTCATTTAGAAGACATACTGTAAGCACCAAGGTTGTGGACAAAAACATGTTTCCTGCCACGATCGCGCTTGCAGTTGGCAGACTTTTTGAGTAACTTATCTAGAAGCGGTGTATCCTATGTTGCCATAATGTATTTTCCATGATATCTAACATAATGTAGGAAAGGATCCTTGATATATTTTGGTCTCTTGCCTTTGAGCCATAGCTACTTCTACTCATAGATCTGCTTCATATAAGATTATGTGGCTTTTCGTGGAAGGCCTGACAGACAGTTTTCGTGAGTCCAGACTCTCAATTGAATTGTTTCTGAAAAACATGTAATAAATACCTGTATAATAGAAAATTAAAACAAAATCAATTTTAAAAAATTTGGAAACTGATGAAACCACAACTCGCCGGAAGGAATCACACTGTAAGTCGAATATCCATTGTGGAGTATCAAATACATCATCTGGTTAATGCTGCTGCTAATATTATTGTTCAAATTGTTGAGCCTTAAAAGAAAACAAAGATTATGTTAAAAATGAAATGAAAAAAAAATAAACAAAAATTATGTTAAAAAATAAAAACAAAAAACTTACCATGTATTGTATCTTTGTGATTGGGGATGGAGAACCCGGTGAATGCTCTCGATCGGGTTGTAGAACCAATAGTTCAACCGGCATGCTATCCGGAAAGTCTTCTAAAAAGTCTTCAAAATTTGACTCAGATAAAAAAAAATTGCATATCCAAAAACCTACAAATTTTATCAACACAGAAAAAAAAATCAAAAATACATTTTTAATGCTTAAATAATAAATAAAATAGTCACACTATGATGAATATATAACTTTTTATGACCCAACATATTAAACACACAAAATACATATCCAAAATTTATAGAACTATCTTTAAATGGGTGAAATATGAAAACCATATAATGAAAAACCTGTAAAAACAAGATAAGTTGCTGAAAAAGACATAAAAAATAAATGAGATATTGATATAAGGTTTGGTGTTATCAAGTTCAAAGAGATTAGAAAGTTTCAGAGTGAGAAACATAACATTTTTATTGCAGCCATTTGAGAGGAATAAAGACAATGTGTTTTTTTTTCATCTATGAATTTCATTTAACTTGAACTGAAGTACTACATGAATGTTTAACATAAGTCGGCAAGAAACACATTTCTTCCGGAGCCATAAGCCAGCAAGGATCACAATCATTTTAGAGAGAGACGAAATTACAAAGGCATGAATAAATGTAAGGGTTGGTTACTAAAACTTAAGCTTAGAAACTCGTATTAGAGAACTGAAATGGAAGTCCTGATGATAGAAACCATCAACCACAAAGGAAGAGCGTGCCGATATTCAAAGTAAGAATAGAAACAAGCTAAAGACTCTTGTTTGGATCTTCCATCAGCTCCAGCTATATTGCAACACAATTTAAACCATTTGGATCTTCAAAAGAGAACCGGGGATGACGCTCTTGTCACAAACCAAAGCAGAGACCCTCGACATTTATTGATACAAGAACCAAGCCTTAAGCATAACCCATAATCAGCTCATCCATACCAGACCGAACATTGAACTGGTAAGAGGTTCGGAATCACTAGACGTCAATGACCGAAATGATACGCATAACCCATATCCACATAAGTGAACCGGCAATTTCTACCACCGCGAACCAGAACTAAAGTACGTACCAAGAACAGTCATGCCATCGACCCTAAACTTATCACATGTCAACCCATCCTCAACCCTAGACAACAACTAAAACCGCAGAATACTAACTGCTTATGGAGGCCGCAAATAGGAGACACTTCAAGCTAACATTAACCATGGCTCCTCACCGGAGATAGACCCTACCAACCAGCCTGAACCACCGGAAAACCAACTCAGAGACTGAGCCTTTCATCTCTCCAGATCATCTCAAGCAAAGGAGTAACAATATCTCAGATCTAGTGAAAGTCACCGCTGGACACCACCATAACCTTTCAAGATCAAAACTTTAACAACAGGACTTCCGCTTGAACAGATCTGCAAACCCCACAGCAAAAGACCACATAACTACAATAGACTAAGAAATAAAACGAGCAGACCCGGCGGTGGTGCTATCGAAGCCACCACGCACCGGTGAACGGAGATCTCAGCAGCACCGCACTCAGGAGATTTAGAAGGGGTCGAGAGAGAAAATTAGTTTTTTGTAGAGTCTTCCACCAATGTGTAAATTTTCTATATAGAGACAAAAATTCTAATTAGATCAAATATTTACGATACTAAGGATTTGCATGTAATTCTTCTAATAGAAAACTTTTCAATAAGTCTTCTAGACCCTAAATTTACTATTCACCTAGAATAGATACTTTAAAATCTTCTACTGCATTATTTGTTAGAAAACTTTCCAATAAGTCATCTAAACCCTAAAATCAAATAACTAACTAAATAGCAACAAACACTTCATTAAACTTAAAATTAAATTTTAAAATGTTTGATATAGGTCAAATTTTAAGTTAAGATTCCAAAATATAATCATAAGAATACAAATAATATTATAACATAGGTTACCAAACACTAAATCAAAGAATATCATGACTCAATCTACATTTATTCATCTATGATGAAAACAATTGAATTTTACTAAATCTAAATTTATCTCACTTAACAATATTTATAATTACATGATTTTATTTTTTTCGCCATATAATAGTTTTTACAAAAGATTTAAATTATTTTTAAGATCTAATGTGCAGAGATAACTTTCTTGAAATTCTTCTCACAAGCAAGATTATAATAGTAAAAATCAATACATATTTTTGTTTGGTTATAAGAGAGTAAGAGACTGGTTGTAATTTCAATATTTTTAGGAATATAATTGTCTCTTAATAGTTTAGAAATAATATAAAAAGATACCAATAAAATAAGAAAGATAATGTTAGAATTTCTTAATTTCATCAAACGTGCACCACAAAAAAAAAAAGTTTTCAGAAGAACTTTATTTCCAAATGTTTAAAGATATTGTTTAGATTCTCAGCAAAAGTTATCCAGATTTTGCATGATCATAAGTTTTTAACTTTTATCCACTGATATTACCAAAAGATGGGGCAAACAAAGAACACAGACAACACTAGATTTTACTAAGTAACAACAAAATGTAAAGACAATGAACCATCAAAAGCATGTTAAGGAGCTTTTGTTTTAAACAAGGTCATCTTCTTTGTGGGTCTCAATGGTAACATCAGAAGAAGGATAAGCCGCACAAGTGAGTACAAACCCGTCAGCAATCTGGTCATCATCAAGGAAACTCTGGTCAGACTGGTCAACAGATCCCGACACAACTTTCCCGGCACAGCTCGAGCAAGAACCAGCACGGCAAGAGTAAGGCAAGTCGATCCCAGCTTCTTCCGCAGCGTCAAGGACGTAAACGTCGTCGTCGCACTCAACCTCTTGCTCTCCCTCTGGGGTGATGAACTTGACCTTGTATGTAGCCATGGCGGTGACACGTCCACCACGTGCGGTGCCTGATTTGAGACCGAAGAGGGATTGAGTGTTGGCTAAGGGGAGGGAACGGAGGCTGATAGGAGCATTTTGACGGCGGAGGAAGGATGTTCCGACGATGGCGCTTGAGAGAGTTGTTGAGGCCATTTTTTGTGTGTTTGAGAGAATTTGAGTTGGTTTCTTTGTGTGTTGTGTGTTGTGTGTGGCTTGTGGAAATGGCGTGGAGAGTGTGAAGAAGATTAAAAGGTAGGATTGCTGTGGAATCCTATCTTCCACGTGGCGCTTATCGTGTGGATTGGTGGGTTGTCGTCTTTTTATTTGGAGAATAGTGATTTGTTACCTTTTTGTGTGTGATTGGGCTCGACACACTTTGCGCTATCTCGTTGAGGTGTGGTCTGACTGGAGACAGCTCACAAACTGTCATGTGTACTTGTTTGGGGTCTAAAACAAACAGCTCGTCCTATGTTTTATTAATAGTAGTATTTTTTTGACCGACTGAGATTTTACTCATCGAACGCGAAGAGGTATTGCTTCAAGGTTTTATAAAAAAAAATATGTTTACAGTTTATTTATTTATTTATATTTTAAAACAAAATTAGCAATTGGGTTTTCTGGAGAGCAAACCAATAGCATCTCTTGTTTTTTTTTTAACAATTCCGAATAGTAATCTCTGAATCCTAAAATTATAGCATATGCAAATTTACCAAAACGGTGAGATTAAACGAAACAAAAAAAAAAAAAAAAAAAAAAAA